AGGGAACAAGCCAGCTTCCCAGCTAGTTATAACCTGTTAGTTTAACAACGAGCTATTCCCACCATAGTTTGTGCAGTTACTATCAAGTGCGCCCCGCATGCAAAATAATAATAATAATAATTTCAGGACAATTCACACAGCGCCATCTAGACCCAAGTTAAGCTAGCTAGAGCTTGTGTTATGGGTACTAGACAACTGATATACATAGATATTTTTTGTTTGTAAATACATACATATTAAGTATACATAGAAAACACCCAGACCGATACAAACAATCATACTCATGAATACAAATGTATGTGACGTGCGAGGAATCGAACCCGCGACCATCGGTCGCAAAGCGGTGTGCTTAACCGCCAGACCACCGAGGTCGTAAAAATAGAAATATCATTTATAGGTTGCTTGGGAATAGTGGACTTTAAGATTATTATTATTATGAATTGCTGGTAAATTTATCAGGATGTGTTAACCTGACTTCATTCACTATGAATCATTCATTCAATATGAGCCTATCATTCATTCAATGAGCCTCGCCGTATACCTTTAGAGAAGATGTGTGCATCATTACATTAACATCAGCAATGATCAGCAGCAATCATCTAGCAATGTACCATGTCAGGTTGACCTCCACGCGGTTCCCCCTGGAAACCATCGTGATAAATTCATCTGGAATTTATCACGATGGTTTCCAGGGTAATCTCTCATCTGGCTAACTGACCTGATCTCATGCTCATCTTATCATCCTCCACTGGTGCCCCGCCAGCGTAAACCGTTAGCGCAGGCGGGTGCACCATTCCATTATCATATACTAAAAAAACATACTGAAAAAATAGCTCTTGTATATTTTAATATGAATACGATAATTTACTTTACATATTTCATTTAATTCGGAATATATATTTTCTATGGTAAATACACATTTATTTTTGATTCAACTTTATTCTATACCAGCTTATATTTCTCTCTAAATCTCTCTATACTTCTATATATATGTATCTCTACATATGAATGAAATTGGAGTGTCTGTTTGTAATATTGATATAAGCTTTTTTTACTACACAAAAAATAAATTTCAAAGCGACCCGTTAAATGGTAACTCTGAAAGACTGTGTATTAAATATTGTTTTAACTGAGAATCTTGGACTAAGTAGAATGTAGTTTTGTTAACATGTACCGAAGTTGCAGTCATTACATCCTCCGCGGGAAGCCTAACTTAGCAGTTAGGTCTTACGACTACGTTCTAAGTACACTTTAATAACAGACGATAGAAATATAAGTACTATATTCTGTATGAAATTATCTCTACTTACTTTAATTGCAAATATATCTCTGTATCTGTACATATAAATAAAATTGGAGTGTCTGTTTGTAATATTGAAATAACCGTTTTTTACTACATGCATATGAATATAAATACGGACATACACCAAAATAACATTGTTTTCAATTTTTGTCTGTCTGTCTGTCTGTTTGTTCCGGCTAATCTCTGAAATGGCTGGACCGATTTTGACGAGACTTTTATTGGCAGGTAGCTGATATAATAAGGTGTAACTTAGGCTAATTTTATTTTAGAAAAATGAAGTAAAACTAATTAACTTTTTTGTTAAATTCTACACGGACAAAGTCGCGTGTACAGCTAGTATATATATAAAACTAGCCCACTTCACAAACGTTGTTTTGCCATATAAATCAAAATTGTCATTAAAAAATAGCTGGTGATAGAAGGGTGAAAACTTAGGGGTGTACATAGTTTTTAATGTTAGCCTATATATTTTTTTTAAATGGTACGTGTGGACAACCGTTATCACTTACCCCTAAATAAACTAAACCAACCAATAGTGCTTACATGGACGAAGTCGTATGCAGAAGCTAACTAAATACAATACATATTATAATTCACTAGTGTTAACACGCGGCTTCTCTTTTTTTCTCTTTTTTTTTAAGTCGGTTTCTATGTCGGTTGATAATGTCTATAGGCACCAGTTACTTCCATCGGGCGGGCCGTCAGTTCGTTTGCCAAGTTTCCAAATTTGCAACTTGTACAAAACAATTCTTTAGAACAACTTCAAAACCAAACCAAACGTCTGAGTCTGAATTATTCAAAATGGCTGCCGTTTAACTAATGACAAAGTCAGTCAAAGTTTTTAAAAAAAATATTTCATATCGCTTCGTCCGATCGACTTCGTCCGCGTGGAATTTAATAAAAAACTTAATTAGTTTATAAAATAAAAGTAGTCTAAGTTACTCCTTATTACATCAGCTACCTGCCAATAAAAGTCGCGTCAAAATCGGTCCAGCCATTTCACAGATTAGCCGGAACAAACAGACAGACAGACGAAAATTGTATAAAATGTTATTTTTTGTATGTACCGTATTTATATTCATATGCATGTAGTAAAAAACGGTTATTTCATTATTACAAACAGACAATCCAATTTTATTTATATGTATAGATATTACTTATATTATATATTACTTCATTTTGCGGTATCTACCAAAAAGTCCATGAATATTCAAATGTTCGGATTGCAACATAATGGCGGAGACTTTTTGTGTCCGTTTTTTATGGGTCCTTTTTATGGGGTTATGGGCGTGTTAAGGTCAGCATCCCGTACTGGTGGTGGATGGTAGTTACCACCACGTCAGAATTTTAATTACGTTGATTTAAAATCTATACATATACTTAAATAAAATTAAAGTGTCTGTTTGCAACATCGATATAATAGTTTTTTAATACATGCATTTGAATATAAATACGGTACATACACCAAAATAACATTTTTTACAATTTTTGTGTCTGTCTATTTGTTCCGGCTAATATCTGAAATAGCTGATGGGACTTTTATTGGTAGGTAGCTGTTGTAATAAGGAGTAACTTAGACTACTTATTTAAAAAAATCTCCAATTAACTTTTATGTTAAATTCCACGCAGACGAAGTCGCGAGTACAGCTAGTGTTTAATAAACCTAAGTTAGCTTCGAACGTGCTGTCCCTTTTTCACTGTTAAAACATGACCTGACTATTATAGAAGTCGTTGTGAAGGTTTCACAACGGGTGGAACGTTAAAAAAAACTCATAAAAATAGGACCACCCTGTATAAAGTCCGAATAGACTCCATATGGTTTCAAAATTCGATAAAATGTATTGAGAATAAAAATAGTATACTGCACTAGTGACGTAGAGATTCTGCAATTTTTTTATCGATAAACGCCTTACGTCACTTCGCGGTATGACAATGCCGCCGGTGGAGTCGGAGCCGCGCCGCCGCATAATAAAGTACCCGACAAATAAACAAGCCCGGCAAGAATCTAGCTCACCTTGGCTAATATTTCCTACTTACCTACCGTACTGGACGCGTAAGCATCGCCTCCGTACCAAGAAATGCGACACGACAGCACTAAACGGAAATTTTATCATACGTAGGTAGTGAGCAGACACTACCTGCCGGTAAATAGTGTTGAACTTGTGACAGGTTATATTGTTTTGAAAAAAGAACAATATTTATAATCATACCCAGCAAAAATGAGTTTTATTAACACTCAATAAAGTTATAAATAGGTATGTATACCTACTACACTTGTGACAAGTTATATTATTTTGAAAAAAGAACAATATTTATAATCATACCCAGCAAAAATGAGTTTTATTAACACTCAATAAAGTTATTAATACCTACTACACTTGTGACAATTTATATTATTTTGAAAAAAGAACAATATTTATAATTATGCCCGTCAAATATGAGTTTTATTAACACTCGATAAAGTTATGAATAGGTATACTACACTTGTGACAAGTTATATTATTTTGAAAAAAGAACAATATTTATAATCATACCCAGCAAAAATGAGTTTTATTAACACTCAATAAAGTTATAAATAGGTATGTATACCTACTACACTTGTGACAAGTTATATTATTTTGAAAAAAGAACAATATTTATAATCATACCCAGCAAAAATGAGTTTTATTAACACTCAATAAAGTTATTAATACCTACTACACTTGTGACAAGTTATATTATTTTGAAAAAAGAACAATATTTATAATCATACCCAGCAAAAATGAGTTTTATTAACACTCAATAAAGTTATAAATAGGTATGTATACCTACTACACTTGTGACAAGTTATATTATTTTGAAAAAAGAACAATATTTATAACCATTCCCAGCAAATATGAGTTTTATTAACATTCATTAAAGGTATAAATTAATTAGCTTATACAAAACACTAAGTACCTATATGTACATATATTACAAAATTATTATTTGTTATTTAACTTGAACAATGTTCGAATATGAATGATTTATTATTAAATAGCAATATAAAATATAGTCTATGTGTAATTCTGATGTATAAGCTATATTACTGTAAAGATTCATCAACATCCGTTCGGTAGTTTTTGCGTGAAAGAGTAACAAACATCCATAGTCACAATCTTTCGCGTTTATAATATTATTAAAATTAAAATATCATAGAGATCGTCTCATGGATACGGCTAGCCGGTAATATTTTATAATATGAACAAATCGAGCGTGCTATTTACTGAGTCAATCATTCGGTCGGTGTGTTTATTGATTTTTGCCGAACACACCTGTTAGTTTAGCAATGGAATCCAATTGCCTCATATATACCTACCAAGTATCTACAACGATTAAATCTATCTAATCAATTTCAAGTTCGAAACTCCTACATACATTGTGGAAAACCTAATTTACAATAACTAACTGGTATTAATTAGATTATTTATTTTGTAATAATTTTGCCAAACGGCTGGCTAGGCGTATCGCCGCTATAAATTGTAATTACTTTTAGGTGCCTATATTTTATCGCTTTTAAGCAAATTCAACATTTTCGAACCGGAAACCAACTTTGTTATTTAAAAACAATGTAGAACTAAATAGAAAAATGATAAAACAAGTAAATAGTAGTAGATATCTTAAGTTGAATATAATGCGAAAATAAACGTCAATGAAAAATATCGTCACTGATACATACCGTTTTGAATCGAAAGGGCCAACAGTTCGCCGTCTTGCAGCCATCGTAGCTCGCTAATTATAGACATATCAGCGTTGTACGACATTAATGTGGCATGATAACAACACAACAACAAACACCAACAACAATTAACCGATCGCTCGGCACATCACTCAACAGATACATCGATCACAACACTAACACTGAGCTGAGCGAAACGTCAAAACATTTTGATGCAACTTGAATTATTCATAAAACTCGCGGCACAACACTATCAAAATTATATAGGCTTCTAAATTCAAAAACACTGTTTAGAAGCGTGAGTGTACGAATTCGATCGGTCCGCGTTCGTGGATAGTTACGGAACGTCAAATTTTGACAGCTGTTCGAACTCGGGGTGAATGAACGGCGCGCGCGCGGCTCCAACTGGCGTGCACTGCGCGTCGCGCTCCAAGCGAACTGAGGGACTGAGCACGCGAGCACGCTGACGACCGCGGCCTGCACGCGCCCAGCGGGGGGCCGCCTCACATGTCCTATAAACGATGCCCTATCGATAGCTTCGTGAAAATCGACAAATCGCACAACACTAATGACTCTACCATGTGCTAGAAAAATGTAGAAATTAATATTTTCTTTAATAAGCAAACGGATTTTTTCTTATTAAATATCTAACAGATATCTAGATTTATATAAATAGTGCTTTCAAGGTAAATTAAAATAAAATTATATTGGATTTATTTATTTCAATATTTTACTAATTATTGTGGGCAATGTATCAGTTACAAATGTATCAAAAGATGTTACATCTAAACGATTAACTTAAATGACGAGTGTGCATGGCAATAGTTGTTCATGCACATGATTTTGTTTAATAGAAATAGAAATAATCTTTATTCAAATAATCTCATTACAAACACTTTTGAATAGTCATATTTTGATTCTACCACACATTCGGAATGGAGATTCATCAGAAGAAAAATGAGCAAGTGACTTGTGTGTTGCTCTTTTGAATAGATGTTTTTTTATATAAATAATTACAAGTAAGAGGCATGCGAAAATCAACATAGAAACCGCTATGCACTCTGATGTTATGTTCTATGGTAGACATATACCTATATAAATATAAAATGTCCATAAACTGTGTTTAAAAAAAATGATATATAGTTGAGTTTCTTGTCAGTTCTTCTCAATTGCATCTATATGCTGAACTGAACGAAAAATACAAAACACTTAATATTCATAAGCGACTAAAATGACCTACTTGAATAAATTATTTTTTATTACATTTTTCAACATCTGACTATTTTGCAGATTAGCAAACTTATCTGTACTATTCAGCAAAAATAAATATAAATAAATAGATACAAGTATTCAGCAAATTCTAAACGAAATATTTATTTATAATTTATTAAACTTTTTATTAAAGGACTTCTCAAAACGTTACAAGCTAATTGTTTTCCTTATTTTATTCTAAAGGACTTATCGGGGACGAATCACTTGTAGCTAAGAGGCTTCAAAGTCTTAATCACCGACGTAAAGTGGCTTGTCTATCGGTGTTCTATAGGCTCCATTTTGGCGAATGTACTCAAGAACTGCACAACCTCATTCCTCCAGCACCGTTCCATCAACGTACAACAAGACTTTGAGAGCGGCTCCACCCCTACACTATTGACATCCCAGCTGCTCGAACCAACCGTCTTGCATCATCTTTCCTTATGCGAGCAGCTAAGGAGTGGAACTCTCTACCAGCGTCTATTTTTCCTGCCTCTTACAACATTGGGTCTTTTAAGTCAAGAGTGAATAGGTATTATTTGAGCTTGCGTGTAACAGCTTAGACCACATCATCACTTAACATCAGATCAGATTGCGGCCAAACGCGCTCAAATTATGATATAAAAAAAAATCTTATTTATTTACTAGCTGTACCCGCGACTTCGTCCGCGTGGAATTTAACTGTATTTTCTATGATAAAAGTAGCCTAAATTACTTTTTATGTACTCCTATATTTGTCTTTGAAGGTTCAATGCTTATCTATACATATAAATAAAATTAGAGTGTCTGTTTGTAATATTGAAATAATCGTTTCTTACTACATGCATACGAATATAAATACGGTACATACACCAAAATAACATTTCCTACAATTTTTGTCTGTCTGTCTGTCTGTTTATTCCAGCTAATCTCTGAAATGGCTGGACCGATTTTGACGGGACTTTTATTGGCAGGTAGCTGATGTAATAAGGAGTAACTTAGGCTACTTTTATTTTAGAAAAATAAAGGTATTCCTCGCGGGTGTACAGGTAGTAGTTAAGTCTATGTGAGATACAAGTAGATTGGGTTGCGATTGTGTTCCTAATGGTAATAGATAATTTCGAGCGACTCGCCTGGGCAAATACAAGTCTCTTACATAACTGTACCCTCGGGCAGCAAAGCGTATTATTAGGTTTCGGTCTGATGAATAAGATAGCTAGTGATGAGAAGTCATACAAGGAACAACGTGGCGACATAATGAACCCAATCTGGATACAGTTTAAAATTTACAATCTTCTCAATTGGATCTATAAACATGTAGGGAAAAATCTTATATATAAAATTCTCGTGTCACAGTTTTCGTTCCCATACTCCTCCGAAACGGCTTGACCGATTCTCATGAAATTTTACACGAAACGTGTGAATACAAACTACCAACCAGCACTAATTTATTTAGGCTCAAATATAAAAACACAATAAGATTAAATCAGTCGTAGTGATAAGAGCAGTCCCTACAAGCAGCACTCGTTCACGAGTATGACGGATGAGCCACATTATACATAGAAAATACCCAGACCGATACAAACAATCGTACTCATGAATACAAATGTTAGCGAAGGCGAGGAATCGAACCTTCGATCATTGGATGTAAAGTATGTAAAGGGTAAAGTGGATTTTTAACGGAGAATCAAATCAGTTTTTTCCAAGAAGAAATAGAAATAATTTTCCAATTAGAAATATAAATTATTTTCCAACATGAAATAGAAATAATGTTCCAAGTAGATATAGAAATAATATTTATTAAAATGAACTTGATATAAGCACTAAGTAGCTCTAGACTATGCGTAGTACATATGCAGCCACTTCACTCATCACTGCAGTGAGTGGGCGGCCAGATCCATCCCCGCACTGGGGACTCACAATCCGCTAAATTTATTTACACCTTTTTTTACATTTAATCTTTACGCTTAGTCCAAGTCATAAGCTATTTGTACTTATAAACACTCCTGTAATTTGTATTTATTTTCATTAATTATCATTGCTATTTAAAAAAAATCATAAATAATAAAAAAAATATCATTATTATTATTATTATGTAATATACGATTGTAAGATTCTTTGTAATAAGAGGACGATGTACCGGTTATTACTTACAGGCCAAAGTGCTTGTATAGGATCCAACTTACCTTTAAATAAGGTTATGACCCTTAAATTAAAAAATAAAGCATGATGCGGGATGTAAATGTAATAGTTTGAACCTATCAGTACCTAATGGAACGAATCAATTAAGACGAACAAAATAATTTTTAGTTCTTTAAGCTACTTTTATTTTAGAAAAATAAAGTTAAATTCGCAGAAGTCGCGAGAACTGCTAGTATAATATAATAGTATATCTAAAGAATGAAGACTCATACAATATTGATCGAACTTAATTCTACAAATTCGTTTGATCATCTTTGCATAGTATAAAATGAAAGTCGCTGTCGCTGTCTGTCCGTCCGTATGCTTAAATCTGTAAAACTACGCAACGGATTTTGAAGCGGTTTTTTTAAATAGATAGAGTGTTTCAAGAGGGATACTTTTATCTGCAGATTCTGCCAAACTGAAGAGGAAACGCCGCTTCACATCCTATGTGGTTGTAGCCCCCCACTCATGCATAAACGAAATATCTCCTTTGGAAAGTTTACACTCTTTCCCGAGGAGATAAAAACGATCGCTCCTAAGAATATCCTTCAATTCTTGTCCCTGACGGGTCTAGGTAGCGAACTCTGAAAAGGGCGAGCACAATAGATCTATGTAGGTCGCAGTGCTACAGGTGCTACACATCTGACAATAGCCCAAACAACCCAATAAAAAAAAAATTCAAGAGGGAGGTTTATATATATAATACATGGACACCCGTGCGAAGTCGGGGCGAGTAGCTAGTATATTATAAATCGCTCTGCTCTTATAGTTTGTACCGGTTGTTAAGCAAAATGTGACACTTAGTGTCGGTGTCGCGCCGTAATTCAGTTTGCGCTGATTGCAAATATAACAACCATTTTGTGCGCATGTCGCGTGTCGCGCGGTGTCGCGCGGTGTCGCGCGGTGTCGGACGGTGTCGCGCGTGGGTAGGGATTACAACCTGACACATGCCTTTGTTATGGCAATTATTAACGCTGTTCTTTTATAGATTCTTTCTGTGATTTGTTTTCTATTTGTTGTAATTACAAACCGAAATGTAAGAGACATTCTTTCCTTTAAATGATTAAGCGGCTACGATGGTCTAGCGATTAAGCACAATGCTTTACATCCGTTGGTCGCGGGTTTAATTTTACAAACATCTAAATATATATAACTCAATGGTGACTGACTAACATAGTGATCTATCAACGCACAGCCCAAGCCCGGATCGGGCTGAAATTTGGCATGCAGATAGATGTTATGACGTAGGCATCCGCTAAGAAAGGATTTTGATTAATTCTACCCCCAAGGGGATAAAATAGGGGATGAAAGTTTGTATGAAACTTTGTCAATTTTAAACCGATCGGGCTGAGACTTTGCATGCATAAATCTACTATGACGTAGGCATCCCCTAAGAAAGGATTTTGATAAATTCCACCATTAAGGGGGTAAATTAACGCGAGCGAAGCCGAGGGCAAAAGCTAGTTTGTATATATGACTATGGTTGTTTGTATTGTTCTGGGCGTTTTCGATGTATATTGTATATTTTAGGAGCTTTAAAAAAAATGTTTGTATGTATATTAGACATATATCCATTGCAAGCTCTATTGAGTTTGATACTATATGGTGTTGAGTGAAGTGTTCAGAATTGTTTTTTTACAGTAACCATGCAGTATGTAATTAAGAAAGAAACAATTTGCTAATAAGGAAGGACAGCAGAAAGAAAATTGTATTTGTGGATATAGTGACATTTTACAGTTCTTAAAAATGGCTAGTGATTATGCAATCACTAGCCATTTTTAAGAACTGTAATTTTATTTACATATAGATAAGCATGCGCTTATCTATACATCTATACATATAAATAAAATTGAAGTGTCTGTCTGTAATACTAAAATAACCGTATTTACTACATGCATATGAATATAAATACGGTACACACACCACATTTTTTACAATTTTTGTCTGTCTGTATGTTTGTTCCGGCGAATCTCTGAAATGGCTGGACCGAT